ATTTGGGGGCCAGCGTGGGAAAATTTGGAAAAACAGCATCCCGGGAAGAGGGAACAGCAAGAGTCAAGGTCTGAAGGTGAACTGCGCTTGGCAGCCTTCTCCTGTCTGGCGGCTTTCTGATCTTTAAAGATGAGCCCTTCCCAACTTTGCTGCCCTGAGCCCAAACTTCTGGGCATAGCGAGGGGAGGGTTAGCAAAGAGACTTTGGGGGAGCATTCTTGCTCTGCAACCATGGGACATGGCTTCCGGTCTGAGAGGTAGAATGGGTAGGAGGGATCTGAGCCCCCTTCCCTCAGTGCAGCTCCAGTCCCCACAGCCTTGCTAGTTCATACTCAAGTGTGAATGACCCTTGCGAAAGAATGACGCAGTTGGGAGAGGAGCTACTAGTCCTAAAACTCTTGGAAGGAAAATTTTCTTCAAAATCAGACACTCAACCCATCGAGCCACACTGGCCGGGCTCTAAAGTAAATTTTTAAAAAAATTGGGCGGGGGGGCAAGTGGCCAGGGAGAGGTCAATGGGGAGGGGAGGGGAGAAAACATATGTAATACTTTTGACAATAATTTAAATTAAAAAAAAATCTCGTGGGTCCCTCGATCACCCCGCCACTGGATCAGGCAGAGTTGAGCCCTACCTGGAATACCACAAACACTGCGTATATTTCACTCTTCTCAGCCTGTTTTATCCGACCCCTCCCTCCTCAAATGCAGACAGAGCACTGTCTCCTTAAATGTCCACCATTTCTGAGTTCTAGTGATGGCAGCAGGATATTGGACCTGGTTTCCTTAACTGCAGACTGTTAGCCGTGTTAGATTCCCAAGGTTTTAAGAAAGGGTCTGGACGGAAAACTACAAAAAGCTGTGACTTGCCCGGCTAGCATAGCTCAGTGGCTGAGTGTTGACCTATGAACCAGGTCACGGTTCGATTCCTGGTCGGGGCACATGCCGGGTTTGCGGGCTCGATCCCCAGTGTGAGGTGTGCAGGAGGCAGCCAAGCAATGATTCTCTCTCATCATTGATGCTTCTCTCGTTCTCTCCCTCTTCTTTCCTCTCTGAAATCAATAAAAAAAAAAATATTTTTAAAAAAGCTGTGACTCAGTTTAAGACCTGCTGGCCTGGGTGGACCGTATCACACCGACCCCCTCCTGCCCCCAGCACAGCCAGCCCACCCTCCATGGGTCAGGGTGTGCCCCCAACAGGAAGGAGGGAGAGGAGAGCAAGAGAGACGGCGTATCTGTAAGAAAAGTCAGTATATTTATGGTTTGCTTTATAAAAGTTACTATAATACAATGGTACATAGTATTGAATTCACAAAAATATGAACAAATATTTACAGCAAGACACACCCACAACGGAAACACTTCTCTTCAAAACAAGTTCCATACGGATGATAGAGCCTAGAAGCACAAACACCCCTAAAAGGTGAGGGTTCTTTTCTTTGTGGGAGGGGGGAGGGAGGCAAAGGGGGGGAACAGAAACCCCCAACTCTTCCAAAGCAAAGATTTGTTCAATGAAAACAAAGGCATTGAAAGAAAAAGGAGCCAATACATTCCTGGAAATGACAAGCCACTCCAGGGTTGGGGCGGGGGTTCCTGGGGCCGGGGGGACGGCACGGCGAGGCCAGGTCCCCCCACGTTCCCCTCCACTTCCTCTGTTGGGGGGGGCGGGGAGAACAAAGACAGCCCCTTGGGGGCTGCACAGTAACTGAAATCAGCCGTCTCTACAAACTACACATTTCCTCGTGTGAAAAATAAATATTTCCTCGGTTGCACAATTAGGCAGAAAACCGCAAATGGGAGAGAAGGTCGCCGCTATGCCCAGGTTCCCCCTCTGTGTCTTCATGCCACCGATTTCATCGGCCTCGATGACGTGGCGGGCACAGTCTCAAACAGAGAGGGCTTGGGGTGAAGAAATTGAAAGAAAGAAAAAGAACACAACAAAATCACCAACGACAAAAAAAAAAAAGAGAAAGAGAAAAATAACAATTCTTTGTACAGAATTTACATGATAACAAGCTTGACACAAGCTGAGATTCCAGAGGCCCCTCGCAGGGTGGGCGCCCCACCGACGTGGTGAGGACGAGTCCTGGTCACTTTCCATAAATTATGTACACGCCTGTTCTGCGTCTTGGGGTGCGGGGGGACTTGTGTGATTTTTTTTTTGTTTTTTTTTGTTTGTTTTTTTGGGAAGTACAAAGAAATGAGCAAAAAAGTCTTCCCACGTGTTTCTACAAGAAACAATGTTCCCGAGAAAAAGTCCTTTACGGCCGCCTATATACAGAAGTGGGATCTGAACTTCGAACACCTCCTTCCCCCTCGGCTGGATTTTACACACGCACGAGAGCCAAGTCCATGGACGTGAACCCTGAAGAGGATGACGGGGATGGGGGGGAGGAGGGGCTAAAAAAAAAAAAGAAAACCTTGTCAGGTTGAGATCTGGATTCTGAAATCTTTTCCGAGATCTTCCTTTCTCTGGGAGAAATCGTCTCACTCTGAAAATAAATATGCTCTTGATGTCTTAGGGCGAGTTGGGCTGGGGGCAGGCAGGTGACGCTTATAAACGAGGAAGTCCACACGCATCCACGGTCAGACACCCGTAGCGGCGAGACTGGGCCCCGCCTGCCCTGGGAGGTCCTCCTCTCGCCTGTGGAGGTGAGGACAGGGGAGAATGGACAAGACCCTTCCCAGTGCCCCACCTGCCCACACCGGGGCCTCCTGCAGGGTCCTTCGTTGCTGGCATTCGAATGAGAAAGTAAACATTGAACCCAGATTTGGGGGGTGGCAGAGAGCCGAGGGGGGAAGTTCCTGCCTAGGACCAGCTTGGCTCCACCAGGGTCTTCGAGGGGACGTGGCCCCCCAGGCTGCTGGGGGAAGGACAGGCTGCGGGTGGGGGTCTGTAAGGGTCTTCTCGCTGAGTCCACTGGTAGAGGGGGGGCCTTCCATAGTGTTCTGAGGTCAAAGCCACCTGCCAGACCCCCCTCTGTGCAGCACCTGGCGCAGCGCCCGGACCGGGGCCTCCAGCACGTGGGTCAACACACCTCACACAGAGGCCTCGGCAGCCCCTGCCGGGCCCCGCTCTCCGCTTCTGCCTTCACATTTCAACGGTTAAAATGTCTTTTCTTTTGATAAGAAAATAAAGGGAAGACAAAACAACGTAGCAGCATTCACGGAAAGAGGCGGATGACAAGACGGGGAGGAGACGGGAGAGAGAGATGGAGAGCCGGGGACAGCGACGCGGGAACAGAGGCGTTCACGCTGGAGTCGAACACAAGTCCTCGAGGGAGCACTTTGAGAAGCGACAAGACACAGGCTGACGGACAGAGAAGCCCTTTCCCACTGAGGGCTGGAGCCGGGGTCCTGGGGGTAGTGTTGGGGCGCCAGGCCCTGACGTGGCCGCTGGGTAGAGGACAGCACCTGAAATGGGGGAGGCGGGGCCGGGCCGGGGCCCCGGGCCTAGTTGAGGGTCCCCCGGCAGTTCTCGGAGTTGCAGAGGCAGGGGATCTTGACGTCCTCGATGGGGAACTTGTAGTCGTAGGTGATCTCCTCGTTGACGTTGATGTGCTGCTTGGAGTAGATGACGATCTTCTTCTGCGACTCCACCGTGATCACCTTGGCGTAGCAGTTGGGCTGTGGGCCAGGGGAGGGGACGGTGAGCAGAGGACCCCAGGGCAGCCTCCTCCACCAGGGGCCCACACGGAGCCCCGTGCCCGCCAGTTGCCCCCCAGGCCCACTGCCACCTGTTGTGGGCCTCAGCTCTCCCCCTGCCTCTGTTATTAAATAATGACAACGATGGCAATAATAATGATTCCCTAGGGCTTCAATTTCAGCAAATAAAGTTTTATTGGCACACAGCCACACCCATTCATTTACATATTGTCTGGGCTCCTTTTGTTACAATGGCCTTTAAGCAGTTGCTAAGAGATGGTCTGAGCCACTAAGCCAAAAATATTTAAGGCCTGGCCGGCCTGATTCAGTGGTTGAGTGTCAACCTAAGAACCAGGAGGTCACGGTTAGATTCCCCGTCTGGGCACATGCCCGGATTGCGGGCTCGATCCCCAGTGTGGGGCGTACAGGCAGCAGCTGATCAATGACTCTCTCTCATCATTGATGATTCTCTCTCATCTCTGATGTTTCTATCTCTCCCTCTCCCTTCCTCTGAAATCAATAAAAAAATATATTAAAAAATATATATATATTTACCAATGACAGCAAAAGTTTGCTGGCCCCTGGTCCAGACCCAGAACCCTAATAGTACCTGGTGTCTGCCTGTGGGGAGCGCTGCACCACGCACCCAGGTCCCCCAAGCCTCCACCTCCCACATCCCCCCCCGCCAAGGCCAGATCTGGCCCACACCTGGCTGGGTTCTGTCTCCAAAAGCCCTCCTCTTCCTGTTGACTGCTTTCCACCCACAGCCAGGAGCCACGGCCGGGGCCCATCACCGCTCACTGGACTGCCGCTGCCTCTCGGCTCTGAGAGTCTACTCTGAGGCAGCAGCCAGGAAGTCTTCCCAAAGGGGCAGCACATACTTTCACCCTTGGACTCCAAACCTTCCAGTGGCCTGCCTCAGCTCTGCCTGGGAGGCTGAGTGACAGCCACCCCAACCTGCCAGCCTCAGCTCACCCTGCCCTCTCACCAGCCTCATGTTCTTACCCTACTCCATCCCCACTGCCCCCCAGCTGACCCTCAAACAGGTGTTCACCCCCCTGCCCCAGGGCCTTTGAACGGAACACTTGCCCAGGCACTACCTCACCTGGGTGATTCCCTCCTGTCCCTCAGCCCTCACAGGAGAATCACAGGAAAGTCCCTACCAGCCCAGATAATGCTCAAGTCACAACCCTGAGGGCAGCAGGGCTGAGAAGTCGCTGTGTAGCACACTCAGAAGGCCTGCATGCAGGACACACTGGGTCCTCCCAACGACCTACCAGGAGGAACCTCCGCCATTCCCATTTTACAGATTAGGAGGCTGAGGCACTGAGACGTTCAGTAAGTAGCTTATGGTCACTGGGTAAGTAGTGACATCAAGACGTGAAACCGGAGTTAGGGGTGTTCTCCGGGAACAGGCCTGTCTCCTGTTCCAAGCTCCCTGAGCTTGTTTTTATTTATTTATTTGCTTATTTTTATTGGTTTCAGAGAGGAAGGGGGGAGGGAGGGAGAGAGAGAAACATCAATGATGAGAGAGAATCATTGATCAGCTGCCTCCTGCACACCCCCTACTGGGAATCAAGCCAGCAACTGGGGCATGTGGGAATCGAACCCGTGACCTCCTGGTTCAGAGGTTGACACTCAACCACTGAGCCATACCAGTCAGACTCCCTGTGCTTGTTTTCAGAGTGAAAAACACCCTTGTTATCAATGACACCTGTCCCACTCCAGACCTGCGAGATCCACCCTGGTTGTCACCAGCCACACGTGAGGTATTTCAGTTTGAACTCGTATAAATTAAGATAAAAACTCAGCTCCTCAGTCACTCCAACCACGGTTCAGTGCTCCACACCACACAGGACGGTCCCGTGTCTGTGGACAGCATGGACCAGAGCTTTCCCAGCACCACCCAGACCGTGCCCCACGTCTCATTGTACCCATTGCACAGATGGGAAGACTGAAGCTCAGAGGAGAAAGGCTCCCTGCTTGAGGTCCCCCCCACCCCCGGAGGCACTCACGTTGCAGCTGTGGTTAATAAAGCGAGCAAAGTTGCCGCACTTGGTGGCGTCGATGATGGTGTCGTGGTCCACCCGGAACATGTAGCTGCTCCCGATGCCCTCGTCCTCGTAGCGTTTCTCCCTCATGTCTGCGATCACCTGCAGGGAAAGGGCCTCAGTAGGGCTGGGCCGCTCCCGTCCCCACCCCGACACCGGCCACAGGGCAGCGCCTACCTGGCGGATGTTCTGGCCCACGTACTCGATGACCATCTCGTCGGCTGCGATGGGCTCCATGGCGAACAGGCCCCAGTCGTGAATGTGGCTCTTGCAGAATTTGAGCTTTTTCTTCCGGAACTGAGGGGGGAAGGAGAGGGTGAGAGTCCTGGTCTCGGGTCCCGTGCCACCCCGGCTGCCCTGATGGCCCGGCCTCACCTTGAGCTGGTTGAACTTGAGCAGGTCACTGTCACAGCTGCCGGTGAAGGAGGACAGCAGGCGGCGCTGCTCTGAACGCCGCTCGGAGCCGGCCCGGGTGGAGGCGTGTGGCTGGGCCGGGATGCTCATGCCCTTCGAGGAGGCGGAGGCGGGGGACAGGTCAGGAAAGGGGCGCGGACGCTCCGGGAACATGGTCCCACCGACTATGGTACCCGTGTCCCCATCACGTCCTTGATGATCCCACCCTAATTCTGGGTCCCTGTCACCCCAACTTCCTTGCTCTGGCTTCTCTGTGCCTGTCCTGACCCTGATTGTCCCCTCTCCTCCCTGACAGAATCTGAGCGGCTCCAGCCCCTCCGTCTTCAAGGTGACGACACACTTTCCCTCCACTCCGCCGTCCATCCCAGGCTCAGCTGGGAGACCTGGAATGTCCCTGCTTCTCCGCTGGAAGATGGTGGGCGTTTCCTCCAACCCCCGTGGCTCTCACCACGGCCCCTCAGAGCTCCCCAAAATTCGAAATCATAGCTCCTGCCGCCACACCCTCGAATCCCTTCCTTCTCCGGGCCTCCCTCACCCTCCAGCCCAGCTCTTGGCGCTTGGAGCCGCACCCCTCCCCACACGCGTGCGCTGGTCCCGCTGTGACCTGTGACTAGCATCTCCATGGTGACGATGCCCAACGTGCAGGTGCCACTTCCTTCCCACCTCAGTGCTTGGCATCCGGCTCCCCAGGCCCCAGGCCAGACCCATCCAATTCCCTTGTCTCTTATACCCAATCCAGCCCCCGTCCTGTCCATTCAACTTCCTAATATTCTAACATTCCTGCTATTCTTTAACAAGTATCCACTTTTGTCCTCACAGCCACCCAAGCCCAACTACCCGCACATCTGGAATGGAGACGGCAGCACCTGCCTCAGTCGCTCCCCAGCAGCCAGTGTGAGCTTGGGAAATCGTAGGTGAACCGTGTCCCCCACACATGCTCTCTCAAATCCCTCCTGTGGCTTGTTGTATACAGAACGCAAACCCACCCTCATCCCGCAGCCTCCGCGGCCTGGTCTCTTTGGCAACACCTGGCCTGGCCGTTCCTTTCCCGAGTTCCTCCCTGCCGCAGGCTGTCCTCTCCACAGGGGAACTGGGGGGCCCAGTGGACCCCTCGGGTCCAATCTCCTTACGGAAGTTTTCCTCTGCTTCTCGGGGGTCTCTCCCAGTCACCCACATGGCTTGTTTCTTTACGGTCATTCAGGTCTGGCTCAAATGTCACCTCCTCTGGCCCCGACTCGCCAAATCCTAACCTCCCCTCCTGTGGTCTCCACCTGGCATCCTATTTGTTCACTTATTTCCTATCCCCCTTAGGATGTAAGGTCCACGAGGAAAAGAATTTTGTTTTGTTCACTGTTCTGTAGCAAGTGCTCCACAGGTACCTGTTTCATTTAAAAAAGGAATGGCCCGGCCGGTGTGATTCAGTGGGTGAGCGTCGACCTATGAACCAGGAGGTCACGGTTCAATTCCCGGTCAGGGCACATGCCGGGTTTCGAACTCAATCCCCAGTGTGGGGTGTGCAGGAGGCAGCCCATCGATGATTCTCTCTCATCATTGATGTTTCTATCTCTCTCCCCTTCTCCCTTCCTCTCAGAAATCAATGAAAATATATTTAAAAAGTAAAATAAAAAAATAAAAAAGGAATGAGTGAGCCTTCTGGAAACGCAACTGAACTCTGCTCACATCCCTGACTGAAGCTCTCAGAGGCTCTCCACTGCCCACCCTCACCTCACCACTCACACCTGAGCCACCAGGTAACACCCTCTGTGCGCCACAACCCCCCAACCTGCCTGCACCCCGTCCAGGACGACCCCTGCCCACTGCCCAGGCCAGAGGCTCGTGCCTGGGCACCTGACGGCAGTACCTGGGTGTCCGTGGGGGGCTCGTCCGTGCTGGCGCGGGTGTTGTTGAGGTATCTGATCTTGTCCTTCTTGTCGATGGTGTAGAAGCCCTCGCTGCGGGCACAGCCTGTCACGTGCTCGGGGATGTCATCGTCCCGTTTCTTTTTCTTGGCTGAAGAGAGGCTGGTGGGTGGGTGTGGGTCAAGGGCCACGTGGACACTGATGGCGAACCCCTCCTGAGACTTACCCCACCGGCCCACCGCTCCACCCTCAGCCCGATCTCCAGGAGGCTACAGAACCCAGCCACACGGCCCACAGCCACACCACCTGGCCCGCGGCCAACTCCACGGATGGCCAGAGCTCTTGTCAGGGGTACCTAGTTGCACAGCCCTGGGTGTGTTTTATAATTAACCACTTCCTGCCTCAGTTTCCCCATCTGTAAACTGGGTTCATAACGGTGCCTCTCTGGATAATTACTGAGGTTTAGGTGCCTAGCAGAGTTCCTGACACAAAGGAAATGCTCAATAAGTCAGTTTAGAACAACTGGGGAGATGAGAGTTCCAACCTCAAAACACTGTTGTTAACAATCGACTACCAGGGTAGCATGGTGGCTAAGAGCCCACATTCTGGAGCCAGGTTTGCTTGGGTTTAAATTTCCGCTCTGCTACTTTGTAGCTGTGTGACTCCAGGCAGGTTGCTTAACCTTTCTGAGCCTTGGCTGCTACACAGATATAATGGGATTAATAGCCCCACGTCCCTGGGTGGTTGGATTAAATTAGGTGATGGGGAGCCCAGAGTGAGCAGTTCCTGCCACTGTTACGTGGTGCAGCCACGTTACTACATTTGATTGGCCGAGACCTGCCGTCTGGGGGGTGAGCTGGGCCTGGCCTGAGGGTGTAAAGGTGCCAGTGCCGACTCCCTATGGGCACAGACACTGCCTTATAGGTGACGTGGCTGTGCTCTCGCCTCACGGGTATCGTGGGAGACAACTCGGTGGGTGAGGCCTCCCGGTGCCCGGCGGTGCGGCCCCCGGCCCCGTGTGGCAGGATATAAGGATGGTAGACCCAGAGGGTGTCGTTGAGCCAGTCCATGCCATTGTCCTGCTGCAGCAGCCGCTCGTAGGTGACACACAAGAAGCGGATGTCCTCCTCGTCGATGCCCCCGTTCCAGATGTCGTACAGGATGGTCATCTCCTCAAACTCCGTCCGGGGCCGGAAGAGGGGCTGCGGCGGGGAGAGTGGGCGGCCGGCGCCAGGAGCCTCGCACCTTGGCCAGGTCCAGGAACTCCTCGGTGACACCCTCACGCCCGCGGGAACCCGGCGGGATGGCCTCAGAGAGCCACTGGTTCTCTAGCTCCTTAAAGGGCAGC